ACAACAAGATGTGTTTGTGAAACAAACACTGATGCCCCCATATGACGACATAACGAAGATTAAACTTTTCTTAAATGCAAATTTAATGTATTGGTACCCAAAGAATGGTATTACAATAGTGAAATATGAAAGTACATCAAGGTTAATTTTTTTTTCATAAGTAAGGAAATATCCAAGGTCAAGGTGTTCGTATCCAATGAAAGGAAAGGTCTTTCTACAAAAAATACATATTTGAAGTATTAAAGTCCTGGTATCTATTGTTCAAAAATATGGCCAAAGTAAAAAATTGGAATTTTTGTGTAAAAGTGGTCAATCTCTAAGTTCAAATTTAGTGATACCCAAAGAAAGGTCTCATCACAAGGAATACACATGTGAAATATGAAAATTAGCTCCACTAAATCAAAAGTTTTGGGCAAGGTTCAAGTTTTTGCGGATAAACAGACAAACAGACGGACAGACGGACGGACAAGACAAAAACTATATACCCCCTGAAACTTCGTTTAACGGGGGGGGCATAAAAATGTATATAAAGTAAAAGTCACTTAAATTTCAAAGTACAGCGATTGATTTCCGGATACTTGCAAAACCAATAGACTTTTCATAAAAAAATGTCATCAATAACTTTCAACCTTTAGAGAAATCTTAACGAGGTTTCACAAATATTTGTAGAGGTTCTTGCCTGTAAAATTTAACAAATTTTGGTGAGAGCCTTTATCTATTACATAGAATAGTAGCTGCAGAACTGTACCTCTCTGCTTGAGAAAATTAGGACAGATAAAGCAGAGAGCTACAGATCCTAGCGTCGCAAAAACCTTCGATTTACGCCGATGATTTTTTGTCGCTACTTCAGGTATTTATTTCGTGTAGTTTAAACTTTCTCTGGCTTTTAGAATCGCATCCTATAACTAATAATATACTTAACTCTTTTTTTCTTTTTTTTTTTTAATTTATTGAAGTTTATTTACCTTTAAACGGTCCTGTATATTTATGTAGTTTTATAGTTTGTCGGTTTAAAAGAGTTCCGTTTTGACGTCCGTAACCAAAAGCAGCTATTTGTTAGCGTTGAATGGTATGTAAATTATCAAGAATTTAAGTTACATGTACAATTATAATTATAAGATACCTTTTTAAAGCTGGAGGAAGTATAAAATAGAAGAAAAAATACCTGACGGAAGCGACAAAAAATGGTCGGCGTAAACTGAAAGTTTTTACAACGCTTGGATCTGTAGCTCTCTGCTTTATCTGTCCGAATTTTCTCAAGCAGAGAGCTACAGTTCTGCGGCTAATAGAATAGTACCTAAGCTACATTAATTCAATATCACGTTATTATATCCATGGTTATCATAAAAATATACTTTTTGTGGAAAAACGAATGCTAAAGATACTTGAAGAACCAGTTAGTTTTGTCCATTAAGCAAAAACTGGGGGCCAAGTACAGCTGTAGTGTACTTTGCAAACAAAAAGTTTGTTTTTTTGGCCAGTGTGCAACTTATTACCAGGGCAACCCAAGAATTAGTTACTCTATGGAATCTTTTTATCAACAGAGATATTTTGATATATACTACTTGTATCTATTTGTTTTAATTTTTCATTCAGAAGGCATTTTTTTTTTTGAAAATCTCATTTCAACTTCCAAAATAAATGACTGTATGTAAAAAGGTAAAGTGGTTACAAAAGTGGTCGCTAGGTATTCAGAATTATATCCATAGGTTAATAAAGTACCAAAATAACTTTATCAGAACCTAATTAAATTGACATTTATGCCCAATTGCATTTTAAAGAAAAGATATCTATTTGAATCTACTAGTATCAAAATCTGTACCAAAAAGGCCAAAAAATAACTGTTTTTGCCTTGTTGCTAGGGAAAATTTTCTGTTGCCATGGAGATTAATGATTATAAATTATTCTTTCATTTTAAACTTATATGAGAGTTATTTTCTATTGCTTGAAAAATTGTATCTGCCACAAAAAGAAAAAAATTATAAGATTTTTGACCCAACCCTTTGCCATTTTTCACTTTTTAGTTATCAAAACATCCAATTTTGTTGCTAGGCAACGAATAGAATTTTTAAAAAAACCCACGTTTTTTCTAATGTCTACCATAGTACTGGCTTCAAATAAAATATCAATGTCTTGTGTGTTTTAAACAAATAAAGTATGTGTCTTTATCATACCAATAAATGAGAATTATTGTTAAAGTTTTTATATATAATTTCAGGCTGTAAAGATCAGTGATTTTCAGTGCCTTCAAATAGAAAAATTGGCTGGTTGCTAAGGAAATTACTTTGATCAGGTTTCCATAATAACCATGATTCAAAACATTTTTTATTTTACATACATGGATCATAGGTCAAGAGAAATCTATGTGTAGAAAATCATTGAATTCTGAGAACCTGGGTGAATCACCTTTTGCATGATTTTTATATAGACTGGTACATAATTTGTATGGTATGTGGATCGCAGAAATATGCCACCATAATTTTTGATATAAAAGAAGATCTCTGTTTTATGGAAACACAATCAGATATACTATTTTATAACCGAATTTTACTGTAAAATCAAATTCATTTTAATGTATATGATTTTAACCAAAAGAAAAAAAAAAAAAAAAAAAAAAAAAAAAAACGAAAGTTGCTTGTTTCACTAATATTGTGCTTAAGGAGGCTGGATCCTGTCATAAAAAATAATGAAAATTTCATATCAAGTATAATTTTAGAATTTATACATGTATAGTTTTATCAAAAATCAAAACAAACAAGCGGGGGGTATAAAAAATGGGGATAAATGTGCGTCTGTTGTCACTACAGAGCATTTAGTTTGATAATTTTGCACTGTAAATACGTCGCACACATAAACCATTTTTTAAAGGTTTTCCTCCAATATTTTTGTTCAAATAAATTACGGGTGCAAACACAGTCTTATTTTATCCTAAGGGGCTCTCTACACGTCAAAACATGGCGTACTTCCGCTGAAACGCCATTTTGGTTCCAAATGATGTGATTCAAATTCACTTAACACCGATAATTTAAATCACCGAGTATAACACAACGTGCGATATTGTGGATGGAATGTACATTGTATCACCTCAATTTATACAGCGTAGTACCCAATACGTATATTTTCTTCAAAAATGAATTACACTGTATTTGTCAATTTATTCAATTTCTACTTATTTAATTATTAAAAAATACATTTACAAACTTATTAGAATAAATATGATTTTTAGGTAAGAAAAAATATAAAACATTGTTCATATGCTATTTCGTCATTACGTGTCAAAACGCCATACACTCCGAAATTTCTTTTTTCTTCAAAAAACTCCAGCAATATATATCTCCCAAAATGCAATTTGATAAGATAAGACATGTATCATCTTCCCATCGACTAGTGGATACTTTTTTACGATTTGTGTACACCTGAATGTGTGGTTATACCCGGTGAAATTTAAACTCTTCATGAAATCTCCAAAATCTCCACAATTAACATAGTTCGATCAAATTTCCATGTGAAATTTCTCCGTAACTTCTAAAAACGATACTCATAGTTGTCTGTAAACACATCTGAACTTCTTGATCAATCGATCAAAAATATTGATTTTAAGTAGGATAAAGATAATATTTTATTAAGTAGTTTATCTCTTAATAAGTTAAGTTTCAATCGCTTTTTGGATCTTTCCAAAAAATCCCGCTAAACAAGATCTCCTCATTACTTTCCTGGTATGGTGGTCACTTATTGCTATAAAGTTAAAATTTCCTAGACTTGAGCGTAATATCTTTCGTTATTTTTCTTTCAGGATGAAGTTGCATATTCCATGAGACCTTTTGTGGTTTAATATGTGTATTACAGATGAATTTCATATATGACAAAAGATTTTCAACAAAAGATTTACAAAGTAACTTCATTTACTATTTTTATAGAGAACATATTAGCTATTATACACAAAATAAACAAAATAATGGCGAAAAGTTATTTTTCTTCTGATTTCCTAATTGAAAATTGACACAAATATGCCTCCGTAGTAATTTCCGACTTTTGACCAGGTGAAAAAAAGATCATTGTTTTTATTCGTAAGCATTTTTTGATTGGTTGCCCGGATAATCGAAATAGAAAGTAAAAAACATGATTGACAGATGCAGCATCGTTGAAAAAGGAGGGAATTTTCTTTTTAAGTAAGAAACATTGCACTTGTTTTTACGTGCGTGACTTTTTTTCTTTGAACGACACTGCACAAAAAATTACATGTTGAATTTCCGATTTTTTTCACCCAAAACACCGATAAATATCTATATTTTACTCCTCATTGTTTAAAATTATGCGCCATTCCACGCCAGTCTATAGAATTGAGCACAAACATTTTTCTTTCCCAATCGGTCAGTAAAATCCGTCACCGATATTGGAGATTGTTCACCAAACGGGGGATAACTGACCATTTGGTGGGGTCAACCTGTTGAAGCAGGTCTTTCAAACCTTAATTTTTGTGACGTTTGAAATTTTTGACAGTTTTTAAATTTTGTCCAATTTCTCTTTTTTTCATTGTTTTTATCCTCTAATATTATGTATCTTTTCAGATATTGGAGAAGATCCAACCAGCTATTCTCAAGAAAATGCTGTTTTAACTTATTTTTTTTTTGTCTATTTTTGTACATTTGAATAAAAATTATGCAGATTTTATTTATAACTTTGTTGGTTATTATTTCAATATTTTATTACATTAAACTTCGAAGAGAAATATTTAAAGCACTGGGCTTTTGAAAATATAGAAAGGAGGGATGTTAACAAAATAAATAAAATATTTTGAATATTTCTCAAAAATAAAGGGAACCTTATTTTATCGGATGTTGAGTCTATTATTAGAAACAAATGCATGCAATATAATCAGTTATACTTCATAGGTGTAGAGATCCTCCTCAAAGAGACATTTAAATTTGTGACAAAAAAGACATTTGGACAAGAAAGATATAACAAATTTCTCCGCATGCTTAATTAATTGACCTCAAATATTAGGGTAATTCAAATTTATTATGGCTCTGTGGAATATTAAAAAATTTTAACATACATAACAACATACAATTTTTAGAAATGTAGGTTAAGATATAAATCTGCTCAAAAGCTCAGGAGCGAACTTAGTTAATGTTTTTACTTGAGAAATCTCATCTGACCGGAAAAACATTTTGATTGTCATATCGAGACATGGTAAAAAACATTAAGTTACTACAGAATATTTCCAGACTTTATTTAATTTCTATGTAAAGAATAAGTTAAATGCAATTATATAGCTATAGGGAATAAATTCATGAAAATAAAACATTTTCTTTGTACAGTAACAAGTATGCATTTTGCTTTATTGGTATATCACGGAAGCTCAGTCGGTAGAGCGCTCAATCCGTGATTGGAAGATCGTGAGATCGAATCTCGCCTGCCATAGACCTAAGTCAAGTCGATAAAAAAGTTAACAACTGTTCCTTCACTGGTAGACACTTTGAAGTGAAAATTACGGGTCCTTCGGATGAGACCTTAAAAACTAAGGCTCCACGTCACGACAGGCGTTGGCACCATAAAGATTCCTAACTGCTCAATGACCCAATGACCCTGAGTGCCAAGTAAAGGTCAAATTTGAAGTCCTTCACTGACCTATGATTCCGTCTCTATACAAGGTGATAATTCTTAAATGGAACGTAAAACAACATACAGTCAATCAACGCTATAGATTTTTCATTCTTCAATTTAAGCCATGTTTACGAGCAAATGAAAAATCCACATTCCAAAAGATCTATATGTTTTAGAGGTCAATATAATGTTTGTCGTTGATTTAATTACTTTTCTCACATCTTGGCTGAGATGTGCGCTCCATTTTCTCCTGATATTCGATCCATTGTTCCTCATTAATTTCAAGAACTGGTTCTATATCCGACGCTTGTTGTGTACCGTCCACCAACGGTGTAAAAATATGTGTCTTCTTGAGTTTAATCCAGCCTACCAAATCTTTCTTCGAAGAAAACCTAAGTAAATCTGGGAGGTGGAACTTTCCAAATGTTAATAGAGTTATTCTCTTTATAATTTCATGTTGTAACACATAAACTGACGACTCTACCTGCAATACAAATTCCAGTGGTATAATCCTTTGTAACTGTACATTTTTGCTTGCGTTGAGACCACACGTTCTAAATATTTCCCTAAGCTTCTCGTTCAATTTATTCACATCTATTTTCATATCACTTATACTCATAAATACCAATATTGCAAACTTTTCTTTTCCCTCTGGAGATTGACACATTTTTTCTAAATATAAACTTAACTAACGCAATGGTCTATTCAGAAACAAAACAGGATTTTTTTGAAATTCTCTACATCTCGATAACAATGTGCAAATTTCTGGGAAACCTAATGATTCAGTGTGCTTCTTTGATGCAGTTTGTTCTACATTAGAAAACGGTGTATCTGGATTGTAATGTTCGAAAATGGTGTGAAGGATCTGAATCCGGTCTGCGTTTGTAAAACTCTTCCAATTTGTATAAAGACAACATAAATCATTACTTTGTTCTACGCAATCCCTGATTTCCCCTGTTATTTTTCCCCAGGCATCCTCAGTTGAAGTGATTATTAGAAATATGTCATTAGATGTCTGTATTTGTTTACATAAAGAGATTATCTTTTCCAAAATATCTCTTGTTTCTATTTCAGAAATGTTCTCTCTTGGTAATGGTTCCTCTACGATGATAGAGTCCTGACAAGTACTCACATCAAACTTCAGTATGTCTTCTATTACAACTGGTGTCCTACCAGTAATGGACATATAAACTTCTTTGGCTGTTGTCGAATTCCCAGATCCCCATTCTCCAATCAAACACAGAATTTTCCCATTATTTTTTAGAAAAGCATTTGCTTTGTCGAATATTGAAGTTTTGTAGAATGGCGGTATATCTGACAAATTTAAATGTTATATTAATCAGTGAAAAAATGAGCTATGATTTTTTTAAATTGAGAATATTCTTTATTTAAAATTTTACCTCGAGATAGTAAATGGATTTTTTCTTTTTTTCTATTTCTGGTTTGCTCTACAATGAATAACATTCTAGATATAATTTCAATCAAATATACACGTATCTGAAAATATTAATAGTTATTCTCGTTTATGAATAACTAAAACCCTCGGGGCCACATCGCTCACCTGAGCAACTACCTTGGTAAAAGCAAAAATCAGTTCAGTATTGAAAAGTCTAAATATATTATAAAAGTAGGTTCGAGGGAAGAGGGGGTATTTTAACAAACTTTAATCTACACTTCCTAAGAATGCTTTTGATTTAATATGACATTTAATGGCATTGCTGTTTATTAGATGCAATTTTTTTTATAAATATAGCATATATATTCCTTTGTTATGTTATCATCCAATTTGATGGCTCCTCTATTCTCTTGATTAGTCATGATTTGAACAAATTTAAATCTACATTACGCTTTTCAATGCTTTTTTAATTGATGACCGATCATGGCTTTGTGAAGAATTTTAACGATTTTTTCCCATGTATGCCTTCTTAAAACCTTGATCACCCATTGTGGCTGCACTCTACCCCTAGGATTCATGATTTGAACTAACTTGGATTTACATTACCAGAGAATGGTTTCATATAACTATGTCCAATCACAGCTTTGCTGTTCTTAAGAGGGAAAATTTTAAAGATTTTTTTTCAATGTTATCCTACTTTGATCACATATAATGGCCCAACCTTGCCCCAGGGGTCATGATTTGAATAAAAATGAATACACACTACCAGAGGATGCTTCTATATAACTATGACCAATCATGGCTTTGCTGTTCTTGAGAAGATTTTTAAAGATTTTTTCCTATGTACATGTATTCCCATATTAAACTTTGATACCCCATTGTGGCCCACTTTACCCTGGGGGATTATGATTTGAACAGACTTGAATATTCACTACCAGAAAATGGTTCTATCTACATGAGTTTCCTCTTTCCTGTTCTAGTGGTTCTCGAGAACAAGATTTTTAAAGAAAAAAAATTCCTAAGTATTCCTATGTAAAACGTTGATACCCTATTGTGGCCCCACTTTACCCCTGGGGTCACAACTTGAACAAACTTAAATATTCACTACTAGAGAATGCTTCTACATGAGTTTTATCTCCTGCCCCAGTGATTCTTGAGAGGAGGATTTTTAAAGATTTTTTCCTATGTATATTCCTATGTGGACCCACCCCGCACATGTGCAAAAACTTGAATTTATACAACTTGAGTATGCTTCCAAATGAGTTTCATCTTTCCTGGCCAAGTGGTTCTTGAAAAGAAGTTTTTAAAAGATACCATTCATAATTATCTCCCCTTGGTAGAGGGCGTGGCCCTTCATTTGCGCAAACGTGAACTCCCTTCACCCAAGGATACTTTGAGGCAAGTTTGGTTTAAATTGGCCAAGAGAAGAAGATGACAATGTGAAAATTTAACGACGACGACAAGAACGACGCCAACGACAACGACAACGGCAGACAACGGCAGACAACGGACAAATTTTGATCAGAAAATCTCACTTTAGCCTTCGGCTCAGGTGAGCTAAAAATAAAAGATCCTTTGTATGAATACAATAAACATTGATATTGAAAAAATGTTAACGAGGAATATTATTCAAGGTCAGGAAAATATTGGTTTCACGAAGAACCTTCAAAAACATTTGCATATCTGACGAATTATTACGATACACTATCCTTCCTTATCTTTCGATATTTATTGATATGGTTAACTTTGATCTTCTACATTATTGATATTGAATAATGCTAAAACTTCTACTCACGTGATCTTCTGAATCTATAACACAGAAGAGCTACCACACTGAGGACAACTAAAAGGACTCCCCCTGCCACGCTCAGTGCTATGGTATCCTTCGGCAAGGATGAGGGTCCACCATCAATCAGAGTTGTACTTTAACAAGGAAGAAAAAAAAGAAAAGAAATAAACAACTTGATAGTTTATATGGTAGATTTGATTTCTATTTCATGTTTGATAATTTGTAAGTAATCATGAAACAAATTTCATTTCAATAAAGCATATATATATGTTACTCAATACTAGTCTACTATTTCCCACAGACCATATAAACTATAGATGAAATCTGTTTTAAATTGATACTGATGCGATTATTTGTGCTCAGGTGGCATAAGGTTGCAAAATTTGAGAATGATAGCAAACATAGCTTGAGTTTGATTAATGTACACATAGAATCATGCATTTACAGCATTATAACCGACATGAATATCAAACTTAATTAACATTACAACGTTAACTCATATAAAACGAATATACACATAAAAAAACATAAGGATAAATTGGTACAAATGTGTCATGCTAATATGGAAAAAAAGGAAAGAAACAAGACCGTGCACTAATAAAGTCAAAATAACTCAACATTTACAAAATTCAGTGAAACTACTTAAATAAGATGTGTTTGTGAAACACTGCTGCCCCCATATGGCAACTTAGCGAAGATTAAACTTTTCTTAAATGCAAACTCTCTGGAAATACAATTCTGAAATATGAAAGTAGGCCAAGGTTAAAGTTTTTTTTTTATAAGTTTGGAAATATCCGAGGCCAAGGTCAAAATATCATGGTAATTGGTATCTAATGAAAGGGTTTGGCACAAAAAAATTCATATGTGAAGTATGGAAGCCCTAGCCCTAACCCTTCAAAAGTCATGGCAAAGGTTAAAATTTTTTAAAAGTAGATCAAACTCCAAGGTCAAAGATCTTGCTATCAAATGAAAGTCTTGTTACAAGGATTAAATATATAAAGTATGAAAACACCAGCCCTGACCCTTTAAAAGTTATAGTCAAGGTTTGCTTTTTAAAAGTAGGTCAAACTCTAAAGTCAAAGGGTAAGGGATAGGGCTTTCATACTTTACATATGTAATCGTTGTGAGAAGACCCTTTAATGGATACCATGAACTTTGACCCTTTGACCTACTTTAAATCAAACCTTGACCATAACTTTTAAAGGGTTCGGGCTAGTACTTTTACTTTACATACTTAATCCTTGTGACAAGACCTTTCATTTGACAGCAAAACATTTGATCTTTTGACCTTGATCTTGGAGTTTGACCTACTTTTTAAAATTCTTAACCTTGGCCTTAATTTCTGAATGGATATGGCTAGGGCTTCCATACTTTACATATGTACATTTTATGGCAAGACATTTCATTGGATACCAATTACCTTGACCTTTTGACCTTGAGATTTTCGTACTTATGAAAAAACATTAAACCTTGGCCATCACTTTTGAAAGCTAAGGGCTAGTGATAATGTTCTTCACATATGTAATCCTTGTGAGAAGACCTTTCATTGGATACCAAGTACTTTGACCCTTTCACATTGACCTTTTTTTTTTTTTTTGTAATAAGATTTTATTCAGTATTTTTTATAAATAACAACAATACATAAACAAAAATAATGATAGAGAAACATGAAAATCTATATGTTGTTAAATACATCAATTGTTTACATATTTTTGCCAAGTTATTACAAAAATAAAGAGTAAATCCGATGTGTTTTCGATTATAACATTTTTTTATAGTGCATATACATATAATGGAATCATGTTTTTTTAAAGACAAAGTGTTGCAGAGTATAAATATACAAAATATATACTGAAACAGAGTTGAACTAGCAATTATGGTCCACCGGGGTCCTAAAACCACAAAAAGTCCAAACACTCCCCAGTGGACGATGCTACTTGAGACTGTTCTCTCGAAGTAGCTGCCTAATTAAAAAAAAAAAAACATGTATACATCATATTCTTAATGTTTCTGCAAATTTTGAAAAAATATGTTTATCACAATTCATAAGACGTAATACAGAAGAATATTGAATAAGTGTATTTTTGACATATTTTAACAAATCTATTTCAGTTTCTTTCAGAGATTCAATTCTACAGTACATTTTGTATTTATATATTTTATACGCTATAAAAGATATTAATAAATTCAAAGATTCAACCTTATCGTTCTTTTCTAGATAAAAGCCAAGAACGATGTGTTTCCATTTTATATCCATAGTTAAAAAAGTTCCTAATTTTTTCCAAATCTTTTCAACTATTTTACATTCAAAAAGTAAATGTTTTGTGGTTTCAGTTGTTTTGCATAAAGTACAGTTGTCCCCCTTGTCCTTTATCCATTTACTTAAATAGGTATTGTTGCAGAGAATATTATGAAGCATTTTATAATTAAATTCAGCGACTTTGTTGTCATTTATATCTTTGATTTTTCTCATGTATATATTTTGCCATAGATTTGAGTCGTTTACAGGAATTGAAAACTCTTGAGAAAGTTTAATTTGATAACACGGTTTCACGAATTTTTTATGTATCAAAATTTTATAAAAAAAATGGCATTTCTTACCATTTAGATTTGAATCCCCTGTTGCAAAATGAAATCTCATTTCATTCTTTATGTTTAAATATTTGGCATTAGATAAGTCACATTTTTTACACAATGGTTTAATTGCTGATAATAAAGTTTTATATTCACAAAGCCAGTTCGACTTTCTTTTAATAACAGTGGAAAGCATTTGTAGTGTTTTTATGTTTCCGTTATCATCTATTAAATCTTTTAAATAGAGAATATTACTGTTGACCCAGTTGTTGAAAAATAATGTTTCTCCTTTTATTTTGATATTATTGTTATTCCAAATGGGTTGTTTTAAAATATCATTAGGTAATGTATTTTCGAAGTTACACATTTTTTTACATTCGTTAAATGAGATTAGAATTTGTTTGTAGAAAAGCGGAAGCTTGCCTATTCTGTCAAGCGCTTTTAAACTAGTTTCAGAAAATTGTAAGACGTAATTCAGATTTAAATTCGATTTTTTCAAAAAACTCTCAAAGATTTCAAATACAGTGCCCTTAGAAGATATCAGTCGCGGTATCCACGCTGCTTTCAGAGCCTTGAACTTGCATTCAATATCTGTAATTGATAATCCTCCGTCAGTTAAATCGCCGATCAGTGTATTTCGTTTGATTCTTTCCGATTTGTCCCATAAGAAATTAAATAAAAGTCTTTGGACCTTACAGATATATTCTTTATTTGGTATACACAATATAGATGCAACATAAACTAGTTTTGAAATTGCTAATGTTTTGATTATACACGATTTACCAAAAACCGTTAATTTTCTACGCTTCCAAGATTCAAATAACTTTTCAATGTCGTGGTAGATTTTCATCCAATTTTTATTGTAGCATTCTTCTTTATCGTGTCCTATATAAATACCTAGACATCTTATTGCTTTATTTGTTGCTTTAATACCGTCGATTTCATCATACATATCTTTGAGCCCCCCTAACAGGATACATTCCGTCTTGTTTATGTTGATTTTTGATCCGGCGTGATCGCAAAACTCGTTTATAATTTTCAAACTAAAATCGAGAGATTTCTTGTCATTCAGAGCAACTGTTAGGTCATCTGCATGTTGTATATTAATAATTTCTTTATCATTTATACTAATTCCTGATATATTTGGTTCGTTTTTGATTTTTATGGATAAAATTTCAGCTACAAATAAGTATAGTAAAGCTGATATTGGACATCCTTGTCGGATTCCTCTCGTCATATTACATGTTTTAGATAACCATCCGTTATTTTTCATTTTGAATTTAGGGTTTTTATATAATATCTCTACCCATGTAATAAATTGATCGCCAATATTAAATTTTTTTAATGTTTCAAGAAGAAAGTTCCATTCTACGGAATCGAAAGCTTTTTCAAAGTCGAGAAATAATCATATGCAGTCTCTCTTCTCGGAATTACAATATTCAAAAATATCTAAGATTAGCCGAGCATTTTTACCCATGTATCTGCCTTTAACATAAGCCGTTTGATTTTTATTGATTGTATATGATAATATATTTTGTAACCTTTTAGCTTAAACACGAGCTATGATTTTATAATCAGTGTTTGTTAAGCTAATTGGTCTATAATTTTTTAACAATTGTTTTTCGCCTTTCTTGTGTATTAAAGATATCACAGACAACTTTTGAGATTCAGACATTTCTTTTTGTTTAAAGATTCCTTTAAGTGCGTCATAAAAAATGGGCCCTATAATGTTCCAAAAACATTGGTAGAATTCACATGGTATACCATCTAAGCCAGGAGACTTTTCTCCTTTCATTTCAAGTACGGCATTTTTGCATTCATCAAGTGTAGGGAATTCATCTAACATTAATTTGTCCTTCTCGTTCAGCATTGGTACTTCAATATTGCTTAGATAACTCGAAATCTTAGCGGTTGGAATATTTGTAGTTTTAAACGATTCGTATAATAATTATTCATTTCTCCGATTAATGAATTTGTATTGTTTATTAAATCGCCAGTAGGCGTTTTAAGTTCTTTAATTACATTAGACGTTTGATTTTGTTTTTCAAGATTTAAAAAATATTTTGTATTTTTTTCGCCGCTCTCTATCCATTTTGCTTTTGATCTTATTTGTGCCCCTTTTATTTTTTTGTCATAAAGTTCACATTGACCTTAACCTTGGAGTTTGACCCACTTTTACACAACAAATTCAAATTTTACTTTGGCCCTAATTTTTAAACGGTAGATACTAGGAATTTCATGTTTCATATCCCAATTTTTTATGGCAAGACCTTTTATTTGAAACCAAAAATTTTGACGTTTTGATCTTGGAGATTTCCGTACTTATGAAAAAAACTTTAACCTTGGTCGTAACTTTTGAACGGTAAGGGCTAGAGCTTTCATACATTCTTCCTTGTTAGAAGACGTTTTATTGGATATCAACAATTTTGACCCTTTGACCTTGACCTTAGACTTTGACCTACTTTTACAAACTTTAATCTTGGCCATAACTTTTGAACGGTAGGGGCCAGGGCTTTCATACATCCCATTTGTAATCTTAAACACAAGGCCTTTTTTTTTGGAAACCAACGCCCTTGACATTTTGACCTTGACCCTGGAGTTTGTCCTATCTTTAAAAACAAAAACCTTCACATAACCTTTGAACAGGTGGTGCTAGGGTGTTATTTTTCACATTTGTATTTCTTTTGAAAAGGCCCTTCTTTGGGAACCAGTATATTTGATCTGCATTTGAGAAAGCTTAACCTTCGCTATGTTGCCATACGGGGGCATCAGTGTTTCACATACAAATCTTGTTATATCTAAAAATCCATGAATCCTTAATTAAACAATTGGATAATACAGATTTTCCAGGAATTATATTTTTGTCTACTTTTTCAGGAGAGTAAATTTGACTATATTGATAAAATTTTATATTTGCTCTAAAATTCATGGATGAATAATTTTTACGAGTATTTTTTTCTGCAGAAAAATGCCATAGAGAAACTATAGAAGCTGAAGACAGACCAAGGAAAGAAGTGTAAGTATTCTAATGTTGTTATTTTTTCCTAGTTACATGTATATAACATTTTTATTATCTATTTGATGTCTTTTTAGAAATGGTTTTCACTTAACACTTAAATAATAAATATTGAACTAAGTATGCATGCCAGTAGAAAATGAAGACAACGATCAGTTACAATGCTAAAATGCCATTAAACTTAAATTTCGTTTCTCTGAATTCACCAGATGTTGAAAAATTTGTTCTTTACTAATATCTTTTCTATCATTTTCATAATTTAATTCTCTTTTCCTTGGTATACATACCCTTCCTGTACACAAACTGGATCTAAAATTCACCATTTAACAATAAAAACGCTTTAATATAATGACTGAGGAAGGTAAGTTATTCAAATAGTATTTCTTCTTACCTGAATTAAATTAAAAAAAACTATGTTAAATTCAAACAGTATATACATGTACGAGGGTTGTGACAACGCACTTTGAAAAAATTACGCACTTTGAAAAAATTTTTCAAAGTGCGTTAAAATTGGGACAAAATCAACGCAATTTGAAAAAAAATTTTCAAAGTGCGTTAAGAGTCTACATCAATATATTTTACCATGGAGACCCTTAACGCACTTTGAAAAAAAAATCATATTTTAGTCATGGAAAGATTTTATTTGTTATTTATTTTTCAAAAAATTAAGCCTAACCCTAACCTCAAAAATGAATTGATTTACTCCCGTCGAAAAGAGGAGAAGACGGGAATAAGATCCCTCAGTCCAAATCTTTATCTTTCCAATACAAAGGTGTCGGTAACAAACGGGAGAGGGGAGCAATAAACCTAAAAAAGGTATGCTGCATTTTCAATGCTTATACGATGTATATATCTTTCCAAAATAAGTGGGAGGCTTAGCCCCCCATCCCCTCCCCTGGCCCTTCGCCCAGTCTCGATGTCTATGCTATACTCAAAGCATTCATATAATTATGTATTTACCTAACTGGTATGACGTTGAAAACTTTCAATAATAAATGAGTTAATTAAAACAGATGAAAACTAGAAATTTTTAAGTACAGTAAAACGTATGAGAGAGAAAGAATTTTCATAGTTTTGAACAATCAAATTGGCCCCTTTTTATTATGATAAATGCTAAGTTGCTTGAAGCTGTCCTCTGTTAGTGCCCCCTATACACCTTTACATCTACTTATCAAAGACTAGAATTAAAAAAAAGAAGAAGACATGATTTAATGAACTTAAACTTTCGTAACTCTTTTTTTCAAGACCCTTTAATTTTCCCTTTTATTTTATCAAAACCTTAAATATTTAAAACGTCAATATCTCAGATCCTACAGTGACTTTATCATAAAAAAAAAATGTCAAACCAGGATCTGTTATTTATCATACCGATTATTTGAAGCAATATTGATCAATCTTTACATTTTTTTTTCAAAGTGCGTTAATATGGTCGATATTAACGCACTTTGAAAAAAAAATATTTTTTTTCAAAGTGCGTTAGCTTGGTCCCAAATTTTAACGCACTTTGAAAAAAATTTTCAAAGTGCGTAATTTTTCAAAGTGCGTTGTAACAAGGGTTGTCCAAAAAGTTCGTGGACAATGACGTTTTTGTGAAGAAAAAAATGGTCCTATATAAATCTGTTGTATATAAAAATATTTCTTATGAAAAAAAAAATCAGAATGTTTAATTTTTATTGATGGAGCATATTTTTTTAAAAATCTGGGTCTTTAAAGGTCGCGGATAGTGCGCACGAACCAAGGTTAAAATGGCATAAACGCTGATATAAAGTGTTCGGATTACATTGATTATTTTCTATATAAGACAAGTCAAAAATTAATAAAAATTTTATGTAACACAAATAAGGAGGCAATAATCATTTTATCATTTTTATGATATCTTAAGTATCGCTTACTATACGAGGGGCATTTCAAAAGTTCTGGCAACTGTTTAATAAAAGATTAACCGTTTTACGGAAATTATTAAGTTTGATATCATTAGAAAGATCAGAAAAATATACACATATTGTGACGTCACTTTATAATTTTTATGACGTAATAACTCCGAAAATGACGTCAGAATATAAAATGTTTAGCATACTGACAATAAAAATGACGTAACAAAAGACACAATTTGATCAAATTAAAATTTTCAAGAAAACTTTTGCTCATTACTCGGACGCAAGTTAACGGACGCAAATGCCAGTTGGTGGAATGTTTACATAGACTACAATCTATCATATGGTATTTTATTTTGGAGACCTTCTTGTTCTGAAATGGTTTTAGCGAGTGTCAAATTTAGCATGGTTTTATCGAATCTCGCTCAAACTTTTGCGTAAAAGAGACCTAAATGTGACAAAAAGAACAAAGCTGACAATCAAAGAAAAATAGGCGATCGTGTTACAAACTTAGATGGCATAAATTCGTCAGGTGTTTTAACCAGATTTGTGGGATCGATGAAGGCTCAAGAGAAGTTAAGTTTAGTGTGCCCAATATTTTCTCGTAAAATCCAAAATGGCGGCGGCGCAGTTGTAACCCCGCCGTACCTCCACAAATTCGCAAATTTTAATGCATGGAAAATAAATAAGACTTTACATTCTGAGTAACTTATATTCATTTTTTGGATTCAGAAGTCAAAAGCAGTAGTGAGTTTGGGGGCGCCGAAGTTGAATTGATATGAAAAAATACGCACAGAATCCAATCCGGGACAAGATTTAGTACAGTTTATTCGTAAACGGTAAGAGTCCTGTTACTCAAAATATATTTGATGAAAACTGCATTAATATACTTCAGTTTAATACAGGACATGTTTTATTTCAAACAATGGAGAGCTACATAAAAGACCGAAAAGTCAGCCATATCATGTAAATAAAAATCTTAAATGAATGTCTATGATAGCAAAACCGGACATAAACCATGCTCGTAAACAAATCATACAATGAATAATGGAAGTGCTGATAAATAATATCATAGTCCTCCTCTACCTCTTTTGAAATTAAAATTTTCTTTGAAATATTTTTTCAAATAAGCCTTTGACAGAACTTTTACGATCGTCTCATGTGGATAAAAACGCGACTTTTCAGTATGCTTATCATTCTATATTCTGACGTCATTTTCGGAGTTATAACGTCATAAAAATTATAAAGTGACGTCACAATATGTGTATATTTTTCTGATCTTTCCAATGATATCAAACTCAATAATTGCCGTAAAACGGTTAATCTTTTATTAAACAGTTGCCAGAACTTTTGAAATGCCCCTCGTATACAAAGTAATACAGTACAAATACTAAACAAAAACCCTAACAAATATGTGTCAAAACTCGACAAAAAAGCGACGTCGGCCGTCCGCACGGGGCAGCATCCGATCAAAAAAATAAGTTTTTATGCGGTGGAAACGACGTAAGAGACAAAATGTTAAAACAACTCAAAACTAGATGCTGTCATGAGACAGTAATACCTGCACTAAGGTGTTTGCCTCTAAATACACACTCCTTCATATTGAACTTTCCAAGGAAAAAGTCAAAATAATTCTATAATTATCACCGTACATGTATTCGTCAAATCGAGCATAAAATTTTCAGGTGACCATATGATCTATGAGTCTCATATATGTATTTTGTATACTTAATTCATTACCAGTCTGAAATAACAGACTTTAATTAATGAAGTAAATTACTTAATTAGATTCTGATAAATATTTTGCCCATAATTTGGAACTTTTTAAATTTACTTTCTCAACGACATAAAATAATATTTTAGTAAAAAGCGTTTTTGATGAATTTATCAAAATGTGCAAACTGATTTTAGTATTTGGTCAGGAAAAAAAAACATTGAAAATACAACCCAAATGATTTGTCAATGCCTATCTCTCTCTCTCCCCCCCCCCCCCCCCCCCCGCCATCACACACACACACACTCTCTCTCTCACACACATTTTTTAAAGTAGACCTAGATGGCAAAGTTATGTTAAAACGTCGTTTATTATGATAGTTTGAAATTTGTTCTTGTACTAAACAGTTTTACGTGTGAACATCTGATTGAAAATGTCTACATTCACATTGGGTTTGCGTCACCCATTATCATATTTTTAGATGTCACCACTCGGCACACATCGGCTGATTCATACTTCATCTAATGAAGAATTAGATTATTTAGCACATGTATGCTGACGGTGCAGTGTGGTCAGTTAAAATCAGTTGTGTTTTAATTGGATTATATGGATTATATTTCATGAATTCGTTGACAAGACCTATGACAATCGGTAAGTACAAGGTTTAGAATAGACTGCATAAAAATAGATAAATGCAAATGGTTAGGTTGAAGTTCAAAAAGGGTCAAAGATCATCGCATGCCACAGTCGACAAACTTCACATTGTCAAGTTATCTCCCGTTGCGGACATTCAGTAGATACAGGCGGAGATCCAGAATTTTTTTTCGGAAAGGGGAGGGGGGGGGTTCACACCTCAGTCAAAAAATTTCTTTTGGCAAAACCTTTTAATGGGTAACACCAATTTTGACCTCTTGATCTCTTGACCTTGGAGTTTGACCCACTTTTACAAGAAAAATACCTTAAACTTGGTCTAAGTTTTGAATAGTTGGTGCTAGGACTTTCATGCTTAACATGTGTAATCATTGTGAACTTTAAACAGGTATAAATATTTTTAACCTTGACCCTAGAGTTGAACCCAATTTAATTTTAACCTTGGCAATAACTTTTGAACAGGTGAGGAAGTACTAGGGATTCCTCTCTTATTTCCCTGAACTCCTCTTACATTTTACTCAGCAGCCTAATCAGCATTTGGGAGATGGTTGATGGGGTCATATAGATGTGCAGTAAGGTTTTGAAATTTTGATTTTGCCCCAGGGGGTCAAATGGGTGTCGAAAAATGACTGTTTTTAAGCAAAAAACCCGTCTTCCCTGAACTCCTCTTACATTTTACTCAGCAGCCTAATCATCTTTTGGGAGATGGTTGGTGGTGTCATGTAGATGTGCAGTAAGGTTTCGGAATTTTGATTTTGCCCCGGGGGGTCAAATGGGGGTCGAAAAATGACTTTTTTTAATGCAAAAAGCCCCTTCTTCCCTAAACCCTCTTACATTTTACTCAGCAGCCTAATCACCTTTTGGGAGATGGTTGGTGGTGTCATGTAGATGTGCAGTAAGGTTTCGGAATTTTCATTTTGCCCCAGGGGGTCAAATGAGGGTCAAAAAATGACGTTTTTAATGCTAAAAGCCCCTTCTTCCTTGAACTCCTCTTACATTTTATTCAGCAGCCTAATCATCTTTTAAGAGATGGTTGGTGGTGTCATGTAGATGTGTAGTAAGGTTTCGGAATTTTAATTTTGCCCCGGGGGTCAAATGGAGGTCGAAAAATGACGTTTTTTATGCAAAAAGCCCCGTCTTCCCTAAACTTCTATTTCATTTTACACAGTGGCCTAATCCTCTTTTGGGAGAGTTCACTCTTTTGAAATTTTGGTAAAACATCAAGGTCAGGGGGTAAAAATCATAGCATGTTGGGAAACATCTTGTTATGGGTAATGTACATTTGAAATGTGAAAGTCGTATCTCTTCTCAATGAAAAGGAAATACAACATTATTGAAAAGTAAGTTACACTTCAAGGTCAAGGTCAAGGTCACAGAGTCAAAAAGTCATGATACATTTGGAAAGGTCTTTTCACAGGTAATATGAATGCCCTTTCATTTCTCTTTCAAAATGATCAATTTAAAACAATTTGCTTATGACAGTGGGTCAAACTTCAAGGTCATGGGTAATAAAAATCATAGTGTATTTAGAATGGTATTGTCCCAGTAAAAAACTAATACACATGTTTAATGTATAAGTCCTGTCTCTTCTCATTCAAAAGATATGACCATGATGACCAAGGATAAATTTATTGTGACAGATGGACAGACTGACAAACAAATGAGATTTAATGTCCCCTACCTTTAGCGAAAATGGGGGACAATAAATGTCCTTGCTGTTCTTGAGAGGATTTATGTTGGAAAAATTCCCCTGCATATTTACATGTAACATTGGTTGAAATTGGCCAAGTGGTTCTTAAGAAATTAAGAATGTGAAAAGTTTGCAGACAAACAGATGGATGACAGAAAACAGTACATTTCAGAATATGCTTGTAAATAGTTAATCAAGGTGCTTTGGGTAGCGAAATAAAGCTAAACTGGTATATCTAATTCATCCACAGAGCTTAGTATATTTTAATATGCACAACCTTTTCAACTCTTATAATAATTATTTTTAAAATATTTATATCACCATGTTTGATTCAAGGGAGAACTAGAGATATGACCAGAAGTATATCTGTTGAATATGAAATATGTATACTGTGTTTTTTTTTAGTACTTTGTTTGTTTATTGTGACAGCAACTGTTATGGCAGCTTTTGGCAAAAGTTGAAATTTCTCAAATGTACTCAAACTCCAAGGTCAAGGTCAAAGGGTCAAATTGTTGGTATCAAAGGGAAAGTCTTGTCACAAGGAATACACATGTGAAATAAGAGAGAAATCTCTAGTACTTCGGACTACTTCCTCACCTGTTCAAAAGTTATTGCCAAGATTAAAGTTAAATTGGGTTCAAATCTAGGGTCAAGGTCAAAAATATTTATACCTGTTGAAAGTTCACAATAATTACACATGTAAGAGCATGAAAGTCCTAGCACCACCTGTTCAAAACTTAGGCCAAGTTTAAGGTATTTTTCTTGTAAAAGTGGGTCAAACTCCAAGGTCAAGAGGTCAAAATTGGTGGTACCCATTAAAAGGTTTTGCCAAAAGAAATTTACCTATGAAATGTGGAAGCCATTTGTATAGCCCAATCCACTTAAAACTTATGGGCAAGGTTAAAGTTTCTGTGGACAGACAAACAGACATAAACACAGGAAACAAAATATGTATAATTATAAAGTCAAATGGAAAAGTTTTCTACTATTATAGAGTCATAAGATCAATTGTCATTTCAGGTACAGGGATTCAGTGGCTAGGGAGATCAGACACCCCCCCGGAATTTGCAGTTATTTAAATAAGACTATTTACTGAAGAGAATAAGAATGACTGTGGGTATCCTCTCCCTTAGAAAACAGGGACCCCACCATCATTGTTTTTATTATTATTTTTAATTTGCTTCTCAGGAAATCTTGGACTGGATTTTTTTTTTGACTGAGGTGTGACACCCCCCTTCTTTCCGGGAAAAAAAAAATCTGGATCTGCGCCTGTATATACTGAATGTCCACAATGGGAGATAACTTGACAATGTGAAATTTGTCGACTGTGGCATGCGATGATCTTTGAGCCTTTTTGAACTTCAACCTAACCATTTGCATTTATTTATTTTTATGCAATCTATACTAAATCTTGTACTTACCGAATGTCATATGTCCAGACAACGAATTCATGAAATATAATCCATATAATCCAATTAAAACACAAATGATTTTAACTGACCAAACTGCATCGTCAGCATACATATGTGCTAAATAATTTCATTCAGCAAACCTTTGCCGATTCCGTCGCCTTCATTAGATAAAGTATGAATCGGCCGAGGTGTGCCGAGCAGTGATATCTAAAAATATGATAATGTGACGCAAACCCAATGTGAATGTAGAAATTAAGATGTTCACACGAAAAACTGTTTAGTACAAGAACAAATTTCAAACTATCATAATAAATGATGTTTTAAGATAACTTTGCCATCTACGTCTATTTTAAAAAATGTGAGAGAGAGAGAGTGTGTGTGTGTGTGATGGTGGGGGGTGGGGGGATAGGCATTGACAAATTAATTAAGTTGTACTTTCAATGGGTTTTTTTTTTCCTGACCAAGTACTAAAATCAGTTTGCATTTTGTTAAATTTATCAAAAACGCTTTGTACGTAAATAATATTTTATGTCGTTGAGAAAGTAAATTTAAAAAGTTCCAAATTATGGGCAAACTATTTATCAGAATCTAATTAAGTAATTTACTTCATTAATTAAATTCTGTTATTTCAGACTGGTAAGGAATTAAGTATACAAAATACATATATATGAGGCTCATAGATCATATGGTCACCTGAAAAATTTATGCTTAATTAGATGAATACATGAACGGTGATAATTATAGAATTATTTTGACTTTTTCCTTGGAGAGTTCAATATGAAGGAGTGTGTATTTAGAGGCAAACACCTTAGTGCGGGTATTACTGTCTCATGACAGCATCTAGGTATGCATTGTTTTAAATTTCAAAAATAAAATAAATCAAAATCTATACTTAAAGATTATTGCTAGCACTTGGAAGTGCATAGCGCTTTAAAAAATAAATGAAGTGTGTGTCCATGTCCATGTACATGTGTAAAGTCAAAATCAAAATGTTTGACATTACAATGAAATTATCTTAACGTCAGACTGGTCCGTGCGCACAACCTGCGATCTTAAAAGACCCCGATTTTTACAAAAATATTACGTTCCATCAATAAAAATTAAACCATTCTGACTTGGTTTTTCATAAGAAATATTTTGATATACAATAGATGCATATAGAACCATTTATTTTGACAAAAACGTCATTCTCCACGAACTTTTTGGACAACCCTCGTATATGTATTCATGTATATTTGAAAAAAAAAACAACATTGTACGACTGAATTTTTATATCTTAAGGTTTCTAAGTATTAATTTACTATTCCAATGGGCACTGGAATAAAAAAAAATGTGTGTTTAACAGATTTAAAGGGGCGTAGCAACGGGAGGCAGGGGGGGCCTGCCCCCCCCCCCCCCACTTTTTCCCCAACCTTACTTATACTATAGGAAATGTTAAGTATTAGAATTGGTACTGACACTCAGAAAAAGTATACTTACACCCCCCCCCCCCCAACCCCACAAAATAGGATTTTCGTCTTTGGGCAAATTTTCCTTTTTTTTGCTTGTCAACTTTTTTCAGGTACGTAAAAAAAATTCTCTGGCTGCCCCACCTTTCAAAAACGATGCTACGAGCCTGTTTTATTAGTTAGATAAATGTAATAAATGCTTATTGAGTTGATACTTACATTCATAAACCTCATTGGATTTGAATGCTTTACTTGGACAGTCAGTTGTCCCATGACATGGAACAGTGTTCACATTATTGGAGTCTCTATTGTACTCTGGACAGTAATCTTGTAAAAAAAAAATCAGCGCAATTTTATTTTACGTGACTTTAAAGTTACTTTGTTTATTGGGACAATAAAGCATTTATTATAAGGACTTAGATAATAAACCATGTGCTGTAACACACGTAATCAAAATACAAATTACACAGTATTCATTTATTTCGTAATTACAAACAGTTACCAGCGTTTAATCAATGTAGAGATTCGAGTCTTCAAATGGAATAACTTGATTTCATGAACACGTCGGACAAATAGACCTATGCGTAAAACTAGTC